TGATTTTTTAAATAATTGCACCTTTAAAAATTCTACGCCAATGGCAAAAAAGGGGTTTGAGTATGAAATTTGGATTGGGTACTCATTTACTACAAAAAAGTACCCTTGATAACACTCGATTTACTGTCATGGTTTTGACAAAGTTTGTATTTTAACAATTATTGTTTATGTTCTAAAATTACTAAAATGCCAATTTCGTCAAAACCATGAGAGTAATCGAGTCTTATCAAGAGTACCTTTTTTAAAGAAAATGAGTCGCGCAATCTAAATTTTATACTTAAACTTCTTTTCTTCCATTGGCGTAGAATTTTTAATGGTGCAATTATTTAAAAAATCAAGTTCTACGCCTATGTATTATTATCGGACAAAATTTTAACACCAATATACCAAATTTCAGCAAAATCGCATATGCCGTTTTAAATTTATTCATACCATAAAACATTTTAAAGTAGTGTATAAAAAATAATCCCTTAAATAGTAATCCCTTAGCGACCCTCACCCTTAAAATTTTAAATACCACCCTTCAAATACCTATGAAAAATGTTGGATGTAGTTTTCAAACGCCTACTTTTAAAAAATTACTTGAACTGGTCATAATGAGTGCAATCCTTGAGTAATCCCAAACAAGGGTAATTCAAATATGAAATAAAATACAGAGTGATCCATTTAAAAATTACATTCTTGCCGGCACTAATCTCCAAAAAATAATATATCCATTTGCAAACCTATTAGTTAAATTTGATTCTATACTATCAAATGTAAATAACATCGAAAATATTGCATTATCTTCGGTTTTATAGATATCGTTACTCTCAAACATGCTTGGACTTTTGATTAGCACTGTATATTATTAATTACAAAACATAATTAATAAAAGTAACACTCTCTGCTACTTAAAATCATTACGTTTCATTTTTAGAGAACATTTTTCTCTTTAAATATCTATGAATGTCTACAAATGATATAGAATAAAAACTAACAGTTAACCAGTGTCTGGAAAGTTCAGATATGCTATCTAAAGTGACCATTAGATCCAGAAAACTTCCCGAAATGGTAGATTTTATGTTTAGTTGAGAAGCTTCCCGGAATGTGGCTAGAAACTAAATGGTTTTATTAACAAAGATGTTTAGTCCGATAAATTTATACAGGGCGTTACAGAATGTGGAGAAAATTTAATGACAGATTCTACATCTAAAAATACCAAAAAAAAGTTTCTATAAATATGTGCCCGAAAATGATCGTTTTTTATGATACGGGGTGTTTAAACTTTTTTGGCTTATATTTATCTATAACCCGTTGAAATATTGAAATGATGCAAATGTATCATGGAAGGACATATTTACATGCACACAATTAACGTATATCAGTGGCGTTCCTACCTGCAAGTCTTTACGTTTAACGAAAAAAAAAAAAAAAAAAAACTACGCCACTGGTTTTAGCAAAAACTAGTGTTGCTTTCTTAAAATCAGATTAATTTTGCTTAAAAAGTACCTTTAAGACGTTTTCGATTTGACCCACCGTTTTTGAAATAAAAATGATTTCTTCTTTCTCCAAATTGACTTTTCTTCTTCTTCTTATAATCAGAATCTGTCTTTTTCCATTACTTTCTTTTTCTTTAATTTATATTTTTACCACCTTTACTTCTACATTTTCTTTTTCAAATTCTATGTTTCTTTCAACTCTCTTTGCTTCTATATTTAATTATAACTTTTCTTCTTTTTTTTTTAATTACTTTACATTCTTCTAATTAGCATCGTTCTTTTTTCATCTTTTTTGTTTCTTCACTATCTTCATTATTTCTCCTCTATCTTGTTTCCTATTTTTCTCTATCTTCTTATTACTCACGTGAATCTGATTTCCAATTATATTAATCAGTCCTTTTTTGGCACTCTCTCTGTTTTTATCTAATTTTCTACTCTCTCCGCCCATATTATTCATCATTTTGTTACTATTTTCATCCATTTTGTCATTCATTGTTTCATTGTTTTTATTCATTTCCATCATTATCAAATCAAATACACTACTTATACTAATTTTCATCTTCATTCCTTTTAGTTTCAATAATTTCTTACTATACTATGTTCCTCATGTTTCTTATCTTTTGTTAGTGTTTTGTATAAATCTTGGTGTTCCAAATCTTCTTATCCCACTTGTTCTACGTTCTCATCTTTCTCCTGTTCGTCCATCAAACCAACCTTCTTGCCTCTTCGCAAGTCCATCTATATATCCATTTTTAACCTATCACAAAATTTTACTAAGACTTTTAATATTTACTTACTTTACTTGTCTATATTCTGTAATTCAATCTTAACTTTCAGTTAATTTAATTTCATCGAAATATTCAAACTGCTATCCCACATTTTGACAGCTTCTATTATCTATTCGCCCTCAAAACTGTACAAACATTAGACACATACAAACTATACACTACCTCTAATTTTTTACTTCACCTTACTACACTACATTTTTATAACAAAATCAACAACTTAATTGAGAAAAAATATCCAAATTTTAAATTTATTTCCCAAATCGAATTCAAAAATTTCAAGCTCCCTCTTTTAATTCTTGCCCCACGTTGACTGGCGACACTTGATATAGGAATATCCACTATATCAATTTCCAAAAACTACCTAGGACTTTTAATTGGTTGGTTCTAAACAGTTAAACAATATAAATCGTCGCTTCAGAGCAGAAATAGCTTAACTGCAAAAATTAAATTTTACACAAGAGGGTTTTTTCTATTTCACATTCAGGTTTTTGAGACTATGGTTATACAGTGTGACTACTTAAGTTGGAACCATATGTATTTGGATGAAAACTTCACCTTCTGATTACACACTTTATTTTAAACACTACTGGAATGATTTTATTTTTTTTACATAGTGAATTTAAAAACTACATACTTTTTCTTTAGGAAATTTGTTACTCAAGCCATTTTTCAGGTACAAAAATTAATCGCTGACTTATAACTTTATTTACATTTCCGTAACAAATTCTAGGTTCACACTAAAATTCTAATTCATAATTAGTTCACATTTTTTTTTATCTAGACTTTTACATTTTAAAGGGTGATCTCTATGATAAGACACTCTCTTGAGCCCGAAATATCGTTTTCTGCGCGCATTTGTGATACTTATTTTACTTTTGCTTCAAAGACATCACTACTTAAGTGCCGGAAGAACGAGAATGCACAATAGTCTCGCAACTAGCCTGTCAGGCACAGCATCGGTATGTACGGAAGTATATGTATAGAGGTATTTAAATATTTGAGAACGAGACTGAAACGGCACTTGGCCCGAATTAGCACATCAAATTGCCGTCTAGGAATCTCGACAGTCAATGTTGGAAATGGCATTTGTGTACATAACAAAGATGTCTGGGTTCTAGAAGCCATGTGTGAATTGATTTAATAAATAAAGGTATCCATTTGGAACTGGTGCCAGCCCTGACTAGCGAGGCATTTGTAGCTGCTCTTAAACGGTTTACCTCACGAAGAAGACTTTCATCGGTTATATATAGCGATAACGCAACTAATTTCGTAGGTGCTAATAACCAGCTAAAAGAGTTATCACAGTTTCTTATACAATTTTTTTTCCTGTATATGATTATTTACTCACTTGTTCCATTGACTGGAAGTTTATTCTTCCAAGGTCCCCCATTGGGGCGGTCTTTGGGAAGCTGTAAAATCTCACTTAATTAAAGTGCTTTGTAACTTCATCTTTACCTTTAAACAGTTGTACACTGTTCTGTCCCAGATTGAGGCCATACTGAACTCAAAACCATTGTTTCCCCTCTCTTCTGATCCCAATGATTTGAATTCTCACCCCAGGATATTTTTTAATCGGAGCCCTGTTGATGTCACTGCCTGATAAAGATATTTCCCTGACAACCGTTAACAGGCTAAAATTTTGGCAGCAGGAATTTTTGGAAGCTGTGGTCAGTAAACTATCTCAACCAACTCCAAAACCGTCCTAAGTGGACTACTCCTCGTAGAGATCTTCAAATCTACGAGATGGTACTCCTCAAAGAAGATGATACTCCCCCTTTGAAGTGACCATTAGGACGGATCGTTGACGTGATCCCTGGTAAAGATGGGAAAGTCCGATCTGTACAAGTCCGCACTGCTTCTGATGTGTATATACGCCCTATCGCCAAGATCGTTCCTTTACCCATGACCGAACCTCTTGTCATCCACCATGAATAATGACGTATTCTTAACTGTACATTTGTATATAAACCCCCGCTGAAATGGCCATTGGCTCGCGTCACCAAAGTTTTTTGCAGTAAAGAGTGCCCTAAACTCCCCGCTACTCACTAGTTGTATCTCAAATTGTATGCTGGCCAGCGAATAAATTGATTTACCACAACCAGTCACAGTTTTAATAAAATCTAAGTTAGCACCTTAAATTACAATCGAAAAGAAACTTTAGAAATTTCCTTCCGTTGTGATTCAAGTAAGAAAGAAGACTTTTCTTTCTTACCCTTTCATTTTTACTAATGTGTAACTAGTACCGAAAGTGAGCTAAATACATTTGACGAGAAGTGCATAATTGCAAATTTATGCAGTATTTTTATTCTAGAAGGGTAGTGTCCCAGATTTATGCTTTCGTCTCCCCTACCTACTGTCTTTCGGTTTTATTTCATATTATTTCTTCTTTGTGAAAGCGTGAGAGAGCGTGACGCCAATATGGATGCAATATAACGGACCCTTTAACTAATTTTCAAGACAGGGTCAGCTTTTCATGCTTTTGAATATTAAATTGTTATTGAAGAGTTACTTGTTTGATTAACTTGGCTCTCAAGGACCGGGCTAGCCTGATGAATTAGTGCAATATGTTGGATGTATTTCCAACAATTACTTTGTTTTAGCCTGAAGTTTATTAAAAAATATTTTTAAATATATTTTAATTCTGTGTATCATTTTGTATTTATTTTTTATATAATATAGCCTGATATATTCAACTTTTTTACTTTAATCTTTAATCGTTATTTTGTTTCAGGCGAACCAACTGTGGTCGTTACAGGAACAGGGAAAGGAGGCAGAAATCAACAATTAGCTCTGGCTTTTTCGGTCGAACTCAATAAGCTGGCAATAGAATCGGCTGATATTTCATTTTTAAGTTGCGGCACAGATGGAATAGACGGTCCGACAGACGCCGCAGGAGCAATAGCAATTAGTAATTTTGCGAAAAGCAACCAGAATGTTAACCCTGATATTCTAGCATCATTTTTAAACAATAACGATGCTTACAGCTTTTACGAAACGTACAATGGCGGGGAAAATTTGGTGAAAATCGGTCATACTGGTACAAATGTTATGGATATTCATATTATGATTATACAGCCGAAAGTTTAGGAATTTAAGTATAATAAATCATTATTGCAGCATGTTTTGTGTTTTATTCCCGCTCTTTATAAGATTAATGGCTAAGTATTTGGGCGTACTCAGCCAGGGGCAGTAAGGAGCAGTATGGAGCAGTAAGGAGCAGTAAGGAGCAGTAAAAAGCAATAAGGAGCAGTAAGGAACAGTAATAAGCAGTAAGAAGCAGTAAAAAGCAGTAAGGAGCAGTAAGGAACAGTATTAAGTAGCAAGAAGCAGTAAGGAGCAGTAATGAATAGTAAGGAGCAGTAATGAGCAGTAAGGAGCAGTAAGGAGCAACTGCCTTCAATTTTAAAGATACCCAAAATGAATAAAAACCACACAAAATGAATAAAAACCACACAAAATGAGATAAATATTCAGATTTTGAGTAGGTCCTTAAGATTCTCAATACTATACTACAGTTAACAAGTTAAAAGTATTTTATGCTTTAAACAAAATTAAAATAGAAATCTTACTACTTACAGCAAATTTTACCCAATGTTTATCTAAACATACATAAACAGAAAAAACTAATACAAAATATTCTAAAAATAAATGTATTCCTCAAACGAAAAATTTAAAATAATTATAATATAAAAACTAAACAAAATATCCTTAAAATAAATAGTATTTTCTCTAAAACCAAAATAAATATACAATTAAAGCAAATCCAGATTCTCAAAATTCAGAATATAGTTATTATAATAAAATATTTGGCCATTTCTTCAAGAAATTCTTCGATATTTAAATGATTTCGATTTATACACAGTTCAGATTTGAAGATTTTTTTTTATATTCACATATTGAGTTGACTGTATATAAAATAATTATTTATTGAATTAAAATGTTTAATTACATATATTTAATTACATACATTGACCTCGAGATCGAAATTGGAATAATAATACAAGATAAATAAATAGATTGATTAACAACATGTGACAGTATTACTTAGAAAATCATCCATGAAAAGAGATTTATGAAAACCATCAGATAGTATCAATTTCATGGTCCTTCGAGCAAAAGTTTAAAAATTTGAAAAACATATTGACGAAGCAAACTTCAACATGAAGAAAGACAAGAAATTGAAGCCCTTCTGCCAATCCCAATAACACAGGTTCGACAAAATCCAAACTCAGACTCAAGAAGCATCAACGGTTTAAAATGAAATCGAACTTCGTATCAAACGAATTTGAAAACCATACAAACAAAGGAGGATTGAAGTTCTCGATACTCAGACCCAAGCATCAACGGTTTGAAACCAAATCTAGATTAGATTAGGTTAGGTTCAAAATGAGTGGGATGATCTCATCGCCTTCCACTGCGACCCAGATGGGTCTATTGTGGCTCATGACTAACTTATAGTTCACCGTACAAGCCACATCTTTTGATAAAGGTCATGGTTGAATTGAGTGAGACTTGTTTAAAGTCGGTAGGCTCCAGTCGGGTAAATCCGAAGATCTGGAACCTGGTTCTTTTCAGAGCGGAGCAGGTACATAAAATGTGCTCTGCAGACTCGTAATCCACGCTGCAGAATCGACAGTCCGATGTTTGTTGCAGACCTATCCTTCTCATGTGGTTGCCCAGACGGCAGTGTCCTGTCATCAGTCCAGTGAAAATGCGTAGATCTTTCCTACTCCATTCTTGGATCTGAGCAGAGGCGTTCATAGAAGGGTTGGTTATAAACGCCTTCGAATGGGTTAGCCCTGGGGTATCTCTCCAGTTCGTGAGTGTTGCTCCCTCCGTCCATTTTGAGATAATTCCTTTGGTAGTGCTTTTTGCAATGCCCAGGAATGGTTCTGGTCCTATGAACCCAGATTCGGTTTCTCTTTTAGCAAGTGCGTCGGCTTTTACGTTGTCCTCCACACCAATGTGTCTCGGAACCCAGATCAAATTAACTTTGTACCGAGTACCGAGGCATTCTAGGGTATTTATACAGTTCCAAACCAGCTTTGAGTCAACTCCATTGGAGCTCAGGGCCTTAAGGGCTGTCTGGATATCTGAAAAGATCTTAATAGTCTTGTTTGCGGGGAGAAAATTAATCAACTCTCTCGCTTCCAATTCTATAGCAATCATTTCTGCTTGGAAGATCGTGTCCAGAGAACCAAATCTAAGATCATACAAAGCAAAATCGACAACTATACAACCAAGGGACTTGCTCTCGATTGAAGTTCTCCATATCCAAACCCAAGAAAGCATCAAGAACTCGAGATAATAAAAATTCAAAAAATTGACCTTCAAACACTTTTCCATCTCAGAAAAATCTATCAGAGACCAGGACGCAACAGCTGTCATCTAAAGAAATTTTCCACATCTTCAGTTGTATGGCAACAGCTGCACATGCCCATTACATGGTTGTTTATCACGAACAAACCTACATGTAACGTCTTATGGAATCAAAGAAGAAATGTTTTTAAACATTACAGATCTACCACCAGCATCGCCAAACCACGCAGAGATAATTGATTGAACTTTAGAGACTAGCGTGAGTCTAGAACGAAAATCCTCGTGAGTCAAAATAAGAATCGCCTGTATGTTCAGATTTATACATTTTTCTTTAATTTCACGTAATAAATTAACCTCCTCCAGTATATGAAATTAATTATTTATTGAATTAAAATGTTTAATTTCATAAAAAACCTGTTCCAACTTCACCTCCAGTTCTATGTGTAAATCATAATAAAAAATGCTATATTTTTATTGCTAATTTATATTGTTTAATCGGTGATAATATAAATTTAAATGCAAATGAGAAATAAAGAGATTTATTAACAACATGTGACAGTATTACTTAGAAAATTACCTTTGAAAAGGATTTCATTAAAACCATCTTGTGATTTTTGGTATTAATTATAAAATTTATCTTTACAAATCTAATTATGGTCCTTCGAGCCAAAAGTCCACTTCAACCTTACCTTACCTATAGAAGCATCATAATTTTGTTTGAGTTTACTATTATTGTTTTGAGTATTGAATAAATAAATACTAAAATTTCTAGAGATTTAAAAATCTGCCATATAATAATGGATTTAAGCTTAAGTTTAAAATTTGGTGTTTTTCTGTTATCAAGTATACAGACAAACACAGACATCATTGCGAAAATAGTCAAAACGAATTCAGGAGACTCCAAAACGTAAAAATCCATCGAAAATTCGAGGTCGAAAAAATCATGATTCCTATATTTTTCTTATCTGTATAGGTACAGAGAGGAAAGTAAAAATTATATAATTTAAAAAAAAACTAAATAACATTTTGGAAAAGGGCCCTACAAGAAAGCATTTACCCTTTCACTAAAAATTAAAAATAAAATATATATAAAAATAAGTAATTGTCAAATTATTAAATAATCCTTCACTTATGATATGTTGCCTTGTAGAAGGGTCAGACTTACGTTTCCCCTTAATGCGCCACTGACACGATGTGTTCGAATTAAACACATTATGATACGCTTCACACAGTAGTCTGTGAAGAGTTATTATAGGTTTGCTTTCCAAAAACCAAAATTTTTAATATTCATCCAAATTTAAAAATTTGTATACCAAATCCTTCTCATTAAATTTTAAACAACTTTTAAAAATGTCTGTCCGATGGCACGTTTTTTGTCCGCACGATAAGTTACGAAAAAGGATATGAACTTTCAGGAAAAATCAATCTCTAAAAGGGTATAAAGCCTATTAATATAAAAAAATCTAATTAAAAATGGAGAGGTTAAGGGGGGGTTAAAACTTTAAAAAATCATAAAATAAAAACTAAAACCAATATCTTGAAATTTTCAGGAAAAATCAAGCTTTACAATGGAGCGAAGCTCATTGATTATTATAAAATCTGATTAAAAATGGGGGTTAAAAGGGGAATTGTTTAACTGTGAAGAGTATCACAAAATACCGAGCAATACATATTTTCATTCTAGTTTTTTCTACAATCACATTTAAAAATATTTTATCAATTGAGATTTTATGGTTTTAAATTTATTGAATAACATTTTTTGAATATCCTGTGTATATGTATAATAATATTCTTCATTGACGTTACAAAATATAAATAAGTCATCTAAATTAATAAATAAATAAATAAATAAAATGGAGAAAGTAACAACACAACACAATACTAGATGGATAATCTCATTATCAGCTAGGCAACCATATACAGTAGGTACTCATCTAAGGAACAAAACCATTGGGTGTTCTGCATGATTCAGCCTCCTCCTTCTTTAATAATTATAATTGAATTAAAATTATTGAGGTAATCCATAAAATTTATTTTACGTATATTTTAGAACTAAAAAAAATTCATGTAAATACTATCAGAATAGCAGAAAGCTGATATTTTCGCTGACGAAGATATTTCAATTAGATGAAAATCAAGATACTTGAAATAAGGCTAGTTACTCCCAATGAAATAAATCCAGATAAACATCAACTCACAGAAAGCCCCAGGATATGATCTTATTAATAGAGAAACTTTAAAGAAACTGCCACAGATGGCTCTGGGCGGAGCAGAATTTTTCAAATTTTCTTTAGTTTGTAAGCGCACCCAGATTTCTCCCCGATTTCTTTCGGCAATTTAAACCGACACATTTTTATAATAAACCTTTAGTTTATTCATCATTTTCAATCATATTTCGTTAACGGCCTTTCCGAAATATAGATGAGATACTTGCATATTTGGCAGTTCTGCAGCTCTCTACAGCCGCTGAGCAGAACTATTAATATGTGTTTAAGATTTCTTTAGAAGCCTTAAATGTTTTTGATTATTTTTTGTTTGGAGGCAGTTTGTTAAAAAAATAAACATTCAGGGAATCAAGGTCTTTTTGTAGCTGGTTGTTTTAAATATATATTTTCAAATTACAACTCTTTATAGTTCAATCAGCTACGCCCAGAGATAACAGAGATATAAGAAGTCATTCATAAAATATAATATTCATGATGCCAAGAACAGTTCGCACTCAAAACATTCTATTTCTAGACGCGGGGCGAGGCGACGAAAGGTGAGAAGTAAAAGAAGGG